GGTATTCTTCTTGGAGCTTTGGGCAGAAGTCCGTAAGATGCCTGTGAGACATGCAAATGTTGCATGTCTTGGCATCCTAAGCTTTTGAGTTAAAGATAGATTCCTTTATTAGAGAAGTCAAGAAGGAAATTTGACTCTCTAAGGATGAAGTGTTGGTATCCATATACTCATAACTCATGTGAGCTCAGAAAATAGAAGAGCAAGAATTATATATATATATAGTTTTCGATTTTTATGAGATAAAATAAAAAGAAAAGTAATTGTCTTTCCCCGGCAACAGCGCCAAATTTGACGAGCACTTTGTCACGGTGCGTCAAAATAATTTCAATACTAAACACTTATACGTAGTATAGCGTAGTAAAGTTCGTATCCACAGGGAAAGGAATGATTTTCTTTTTATGAAACTTAGTAAATAAAGGGGGGATTTGGATTCAGTGATTTAATTTAATTAAGAACCAAGATGAACAACCTATATGTGTTTAATTCAAAGATAAAAAGGACTTGGCATTGCTACTTTCCACTTGTTGATATATTTTAGTCGATCATTGTTATATCTATAACTTATTCCTTCTTGAATACTCAATCGGGGAGTATATCCACTTCATCGAGGGTAGTTATTAACAACGACCGTTCATTAATAACCCCTACTATTAATCAAATACAGAGCAACGCCTTATACCGATTTAATAGTAGCATTTAATCTTTCTAACTCCTTGATGAAATCAATTGAGATTGATAACCTCAACACAACGGTTTTGATTTAACTAACAAAATTGATCCCTCTTAAGTTTATTAACCACGACCGTGCATTAATAAACCGAAGTTACTTACTTGTGAAACCACCAACGATTAACCATCGGTTCGTTGATCGTTTCTAGTAGTAATTAATATATGAAACAAAACTAGTTGATCCTTTAAGTAATGTTCAAAATATTAATATGAAATATGAGTAGGAAATAATTAATATTCAAGGAAGAATATTATTAAAGAAGATGAATCCTACTATAATTAATATCAAGATGTTATCTAATTGTCATCTTAGCAACACTCCCCAACATTAAAATAGAGGAAGAAAATACCATTCTAACTAATGTCGAAATGTTAACTAATTGTCATCTTAGCAACACTCCCCAACATTAATATAGAGATGGTATTAAGGAAAGAACTATTAATTAATATTCAAGGAAAGAAGTTAAGAAAATAACTCATAACTCTAAGAATCAACAAGCTTCAAGAGCAACACCAAGAATGGAAGTTTAGCTCCTCATTTGGAGACTAAACATAGCTAGAAAATATAAAGAAATGCTATTCTAAACTGAGCTAAAGAGTATGGAAGAAGGGATTATTTTTAGAGAAGAAAAAATGTGCTGTTTATAGGTGTTTTTCAACACCTTTGGCCGGGTACCCGACCGAGTATAGTACTTACCCGACCGGGTCTGGTCAAAATCAGATAATCCACCACATTCTGGTGATCTTCGCACGTCGTTTTGTCCCGGTCACATCTGACCCGACCGGGTCAAGTAGGGGACCCGACCGGGTCCAGTGACTTTCTTGGAAATTTCGTCTGTTAAATCATACCCGACCGGGTGGGGGTTTCTACCCGGTCGGGTTTCACTCCTGGGCAATCAAATTTCTTGTTTTCTTCTCTTCAAAGTCTTCCTTTCCAACACCACAAATCCTAATTATACTTTACAACTTATAAATAAAGAATAAAATACAATTACAACTGAAATTACATAAATGTTTACAAACTAAATAAAATGTCAAACAATCAACATAAATCAAACATAAAAACATGCAATCATGCACTACTTATTAGTGTGCATCAGTATTCTGGTAGCATCAGAGTTGCTCCAACTCTGATGGGGGTATTCTGATCGCGCACCAGAACTGCTCCAAGCCGTTACAGCCATTAAATGCCCCCACGTTCTTGTCTTTTAATGCAGCGTTAAATGGACAGTTTATGGATGATTCAATGCCCAACGGACTGGTCATTGATGTCCAACGTTCAGGTCCATTAACATCCCATTAAACACACAACAAATCCTCCTATAAAAGGCTGGCAGGTGCTTTGCAACAAACACACGGTTTGACAACACACAATACATTCCTCACGTTTTCTTGAGCTAAAAACACTTCCTGCTACTCTGCAAATTCCTTCTGTGTTCATACTTGGTTCTCGTTCGCCGGAACTCTTGTTTGTGTGCTGAAACATTAGTTCGTAGTCATCGTATCCTGGAAAACGATTGTTGCAACGCTCCTAGGACCGTGGGAGGCAAATGTTGCATGTCTTGGCATCCTATTCTTTTGAGTTAAAGATAGATTCCTTTATTAGAGAAGTCAAGAAGGAAATTTGACTCTCTAAGGATGAAGTGTTGGTATCCATATACTCATAACTCATGGAGAATGGATCATACCTCATGTGAGGTACATCATCAATTTGTGCAAGGTATTCTTCTTGGAGCTTTGGGCAGAAGTCCGTAAGATGCCTGTGAGACATGCAAATGTTGCATGTCTTGGCATCCTAAGCTTTTGAGTTAAAGATAGATTCCTTTATTAGAGAAGTCAAGAAGGAAATTTGACTCTCTAAGGATGAAGTGTTGGTATCCATATACTCATAACTCATGTGAGCTCAGAAAATAGAAGAGCAAGAATTATATATATATATATATATATATATATATATATATATATATATATATATATTGTTTTCGATTTTTATGAGATAAAATAAAAAGAAAAGTAATTGTCTTTCCCCCGCAACAGCGCCAAATTTGACGAGCACTTTGTCACGGTGCGTCAAAATAATTTCAATACTAAACACTTATACGTAGTATAGCGTAGTAGAGTGTGTAAAGCTCACTAGTTCACTAGTTCACTAGAGAAAAACAAGAAAGGAGATGTAAAGCTCACTAGTTCACTAGAGAAAAACAAGAAAGGAGATGAAGCAGAATTAGTCAAAGCTCGTGCTACGCACGATGTCCTTAAAACGTATTTGTTGCCTCCCACGGTCCTAGGAGCGTTGCAACAATCGTTTCCCAGGATACGATGACTACGAACTAATGTTTCAGCACACAAACAAGAGTTCCAGCGAACGAGAACCAAGTATGAACACAGAAGGAATTTGCAGAGTAGCAGGAAGTTGGTTGTTTGGTATTGAAATAGTCACAAGGGAAAGGAGGAAAGAATCTCCACAACTTCATCTTTCATAGCAAAACTCGAGCAGAGCTCAAACAAGAAAGTTGGGAGGAAGTTAAAGAAGGAAAAAGCTAGGAAAAAGTGTGAAAATTAAGGTAATAACCTTATCATAACTTTTCCTTTGTTTTTCTTCTAGCATATAAGATATATATCATATGAAAGACCTTTAGTATTGTTCTACATGATTTAAGTGTGGAATAATGGGTTGGAAAGTGATTCTAAGTCCAAAAACAGACTTAGAAGCCAAAACGGCCGATTCGCCGGAAAATAACCTTTTAGAGGTTATTTGTATTACTATGGGTTTTATGATGATAAAACCTTGTTAGTAACTTATCCAAGGTATTCAAGGAACTTTCAAGGAGTTGAAAGGGGCGCCGGAGTTGTCGCCGGAGTTCGTTGAAGTTCGCCGGAGTTTCACCGGAGCTAAATCGGGAAGGCTAGAACTTCATAAGCTTCATTAAGGTGAGAAGACGGCTTTATGCTTTATAACTTTTGCGTGAGGCATGAGATTACCTAAAGTAATCAAGGATATGTTTTATGAAATGAGTAAAGATAACCAAGTGTTTGCTTATGCCATGACTATACATAAAACATAGTTGAAAAGCATGTTATGTAGGTTTGGTGGTTAAAAGTGTGATAACTTATTATGTGTGATGTTCCAGGGATCCAAAATGGTATTTTTGGATCAAGGACGTCAAGGAGTATATGTGTATAAAATTTCACGTTAATCGGACTCCGTTTGGGTGGTCAAACGGGCGTTGACCGACAAGTCAACTGTCATACCTGACCGGGTATTGACACATACCCGACCGGGTATTTGCTGAAAATTAGCTTTGTGGACTACTGTCTCCTGTACTCGACCGAGTATGGGTTGATACTCAATCGAGTATTGGGTTATGCTCAAAACGGGCAGTTTTGAGCGGGTTAATGTGGGCCGTTCAGGGTGGGCCCGCCCACATTGGTTCCTAAGGTTGGTTATATGACTATAGGGCTAGGTATTGTCCATAGTTGAAGGAACGAAAGGTTAGCCATATCGAGGTTAGGGTTTGGTAAGGATTTAGTTTGGGGTTGAGTATCCCCGGGACATTAAATGATCCTGAAACTCGGTTGGGATTGAGCATCCCCGGGACTATAAATGATCCTGAAACTCGGTTGGGGTTGAGCATCCCCGGGACTATAAATGATCCTGAAACTCGGTTGGGGTTGAGTATCCCCGGGACTGCAAATGATCCTGAAACTCGGTTGGGGTTGAGTATCCCCGGGACAGTAAATGATCCTGAAACTCGGTTGGGGTTGAGTATCCCCGGGATGCTAAATGCTCCCAAAACTCGGTAGGATATTATGAATGTAGAATGTAGCTGGTGAGCTAGACATTCGGGAAAAGGGTGAGAAAGGTCAGGTAAGAACTTTATCTCTAAAAGACTCTTTGAATGAAATGACCTACGGGTCGAGTATTTTACATATATATATATATATATATATATATATATATATATATATATATATATATATATATATATATATATATATACAGTATGTATCATCGGATGAATGAGTCACACATATATATATATATATATATATATATATATATATATATATATATATATATATATATATATATATATATATATATATATATATATATATATATATATATATATATATATATATATATATATATATATATATCACCCTATTTTTGGGTCTCGTGTCTGAAACATTAGTTATTCTTCATATAGCCTGCTTGTCACTAGTACTTCTATGGAGTATTGACCCCTCCGGGGGCCCTCACATTTTTCAGGTTGAGGCTAGAGTCCTACTACCTGCACCTTTGCCTAGGGTGATCCTTCGAGGAGGAAGACGTGGTTCGTGCTTCCATTCGTATTTATGAAATCTATAAACTGCTCATGGATTTTTGAACAATGTTTTCATTAAAACAGTTGGGTGGCCTGCGTGCCCGTGTTTGCCACATGTGGCTAAGTATCAAACATATTATTATTTCCGCATTTGTTTGATTATGATATTGATGTTGATTGTATGTGTTTACTAATCAGTTTGGCAATAGAAACAATCGGACGCCTTGTACAATTCAATAGGGATGAACTGTTGTTGTTCTTATCGGGTTGTACGGCGGTTGTCTACGTGGCTCGGATGCGGTCCGGGGCGTGACAATTAAGTGGTATCAGAGCCATCGATTTCTAAACTATATAATTAACCTCTCAATATGGTTATCCTCAAAAAAAGTTTTGAATAAATCCATGAGGAACAGTTTTTGTACTTAAGGAACCGTTGGAAACCAAGTTATTGACCTCTTATTGTTAAGACGGTACCCTTAACAGTTTGTTGGCCATAATGTTGGACCAAGTGGTGTCTTTTGTACTAATCCGTCAATTGACATTGAAACGAGTCTAATGACTCATTCCTTATTTCTTTCAGAAATGGAGGGTGGACGCAGGATAACTAGAAGGAACCCGACAGGGCATGTGCCGGGGGCCACCGGGCATGCCACTCGGGCGGAATCACGGACCTCTAGGGGTAGAGGCCGGGGCCAAAGCCGAGGAGGAGGTCGAGGCAGGGGTCGTGGGCGTTCTACAACGCCGACGGCAAGTAGCACGCGTGTCGGTTCTGTGCACCCATCCAGGGCCACCGAACCGAACGATTTCACATATGCTCCACGCACCGAGCAAGAGGAGACCCTGTACAACGGGGAGGACTTTGAGGAAGAAGATGAGGATGATGATCCTCATTATGACCGTATGAGTGAGGTACTAGAATGGTACCTTGAGAATAAAGCAAAGAGAGAGCAGCGGCGCCAAGCTAGACAGGCTAGGCAAACCATGGGGCAGGGAAGCCGAGGTGCTTCTAGTGCTCCATCGGGGGCATTTGGGGAGACACGATGGTGCGTATCTCCAAGTACCTCAAGGAGGCCAGGGCCTTGGGGTGCAAATCATTTGATGGCAAGGGCGACATATCTGAGGCCGCCGACTGGATTAAGAAGCTGAATGATGCTTCTAGGGATATGCAAATTGGACTCGACGTGAAGTTGAGGGTTGCCACCAGGCTACTGGATGGAGTAACTGCTATATAGTGGGAAGGTGTGGAAGGAAAGTTCCACGGTGAGGCCACTTGGGAGAAATTCGAAGTGGAGTTCTATAATCAGTACTACTCAACTTTTGAGGTCAACCTCAAGAGGAGAGAGTACACAAATCTGAAACAGGAGGATGGCTGCTCGGTGAGGCAATTAGAACAGAGGTTCCGAGACTTGGCACGATTCATACCAGAGTACTCCTTGGATGAGAATCGAATGGCCAATCATTTCTGGGATGCTCTACAGTTGGACATCCGCGACCGGGCTACTTATCAGCATAACATGACATTCAGTCAAATTGTCGATCAAGGGCTCCTTGGGGAAACCCAATGGAATGAAAGGAAGGCGAGAGACGTCGAGGAGGCGAAGAAGAGGAGATGGGGAAACTCTTGACCCCAAGACCACTCTTGGAAGCATCACGCCGGGGGTGGCAATACATTCAGGGCGCCGACACCACCAACGAAAAGGTATAAGGGCTCAGGCGGACAAGGGCCCAAACCGGGGGGTGTGGGACCACCCAGGTGCGCAAACTGCGGTAAGAACCACGGGGAAGGTGCAATGAACCACCCTGGTGCTTCAAATGCGGTAGCACGAGCCACCTCAAACCCTCTTGTCCAATGCTTAACGGAGGAGGACCATCGGGAGCTATGGGAGGACCTACGACTAGTCGGGGACGTGCGGGGCCATCTCAGGCCGGCACGGGAAGGGGCGGACCCACAGCTAGCAACGCCGCGTCCGTTAACCAAGGAAGGACCCAAGCACGGGTGTATGCAATGACCGAGGCTGATGCTCGGGCCAACCCGGACTCCATTGCAGGTAATCTCTTGATTTCACACGTATTTGGTTATGTAATTGGGTGAAAAATCTTCAAAAAAGATGAAGGACCCGATCGGGTATCCCTATAGACCCGACCAGATATAAGCCATGCTTTGATTTTGAAGCGTGTACTCGTTCGGGCAAGCAAGGCAGGGTATTTAATTTTTGACACTTCAAGCAATACCCGATCGGGTATAACTATGTACTCGATCGGGTATGTGTAAAAAGGTGAGCTTCGAAGTGTGTACCCGTTCGAGCAACCAAGGTAGGATACTCCATTTTTGACATTTCGAGCAATACCCGATCGAGTATGTGTAAAACTTGAGCCTCGAAGTGTGTATTCGATCGAGCGTTGTGGACAGGGAGCTTTTACTTGAGAAATTCGAGTGATACCCGACCGGGTATGGGTATAGACCCGACCGGGTATAGGACCTTACCCGACCGGGTATAGGATAATTCCAGGCTGAAATTTTTTTCGTCCGGTCCTTTTCAGTCGGGATGTCGAATAGGGTGTCTCACATGGCTTATATATGTAGGAACACTAAAGATCAACGATAGGGATGCGAGAATTCTCATCGATACCGGGGCACAACGTTCATTTGTGAGCGAAGCGTTTGCCAAGGGATTGAACATGCCTTTGGTAGCAATGATGCAACCTTTGCTGGTCTCTACGCCATTGGGAGATGATGTAGAGCGGAAACACCACTATCCCTTGTGTAATGTAGGAATAGGGGGGCACTGTCTAACGGGTGACTTTGTGCCGCTAGATATGCTCGAGTTTGATGCTATACTTGGCATGGATTGGCTCGAAAAGCACCATGCGAAGGTAGATTGCTACACGAAGCTGTTAGAACTAAAAGATGGAGAAGGAAATACTCTATGCTTCGAGGGAGATAGAGGGAAATTCAATCCTTGTATCATATCGGCCATAAGAGCAAGGCGTATGATGAGGAAAGGATGTCAAGCGTACTTGGCCTATGTCGTAGGCAAGGAAGGCAAGGGAAAGAGTCTCACTGAGGTGAGAGTGGTGAGTGAGTACCCAGAAGTTTTCCCTGAAGAACTCCCGAGACTCCCACCAGATCGAGAAATTGAGTTCACCATTGAAGTAGAACCCGGTACAAAACCCATCTCGATTCCTCCATATCGGATGGCACCGGCTGAACTTCAAGAGTTGAAGGTGCAATTGGAAGAATTACTGGACAGCAGATACATTAGGCCGAGTCATTCATCGTGGGGGAGCACCGGTACTCTTTGTAAAGAAGAAAGATGGTACACTTAGAATGTGTATCGATTACCGTCAGTTGAACAAGGTCACGATAAAGAATAAATACCCTTTGCCAAGGATCGATGACTTGTTTGATCAACTACGGGGGGAAACCGTGTTCTCTAAGATTGACTTGAGGTCAGGCTACCATCAACTGAAGATCAAGGAGAGTGACATACCCAAAAGTGCATTCCGTACAAGGTATGGTCACTATGAGTTTCTAGTAATGTCGTTTGGGCTTACGAACGCCCCCGCGACATTCATGGACCTCATGAACCGAGTATTTCACCAATACTTAGACCAGTTCATCATAGTGTTCATTGATGACATTTTGATATACTCCATGAATGAAGAGGAACACGAAAAACATCTAAGGCTTGTGCTTGAAACACTGCGGGAGAAGCAACTCTTTGCCAAATTCTCTAAATGTGAATTTTGGCTTGGGGAGATCGGTTTTCTCGGGCATGTGGTATCGGGCTCGGGCATTTCAGTTGATAACTCAAAGATTGAGGCGGTCACTAATTGGGAGAGGCCCAAGAACGTGAAGGAGATAAGGAGTTTCCTCGGTTTAGCGGGTTATTACCGTAAATTCGTGGAAAAGTTCTCGGTGATAGCATCTCCACTCACGAAGCTCACTAAAAAGGGGGCTAAGTTTGTGTGGGATGACAAGTGTGAGAAGGGGTTTCTTGAGCTAAAGAAACGTTGGACCGAAGCACCAGTGCTTGCCTTGCCCGTGCAAGGGTTAAGGTATGACATCTACAGCGATGCTAGCATTCAGGGACTGGGATGTGTACTGATGCAATCAGAGAAGGTAATTGCTTATGCTTCCCGGCAGTTGAGGAAGCATGAAGTAAACTACCCCACGCATGATCTGGAGCTAGGTGCTGTGGTATTTGCATTGAAGATTTGGAGGCACTACCTCTACGGGGAGTTGTGTCACATTTACACCGACCACAAGAGCTTGAAGTATGTGTTCACTCAGAAAGAGTTGAACATGAGACAGAGGAGATGGATGGAGTTGATTAAGGATTACAACTTGATCATTGACTATCATCCAGGCAAGGCTAATGTAGTAGCCGATGCACTAAGCAGGAAGAGCTCATCATTAGGGGTTTTACTCACATGCTTACGGGCATTGAGGGCACGCGTGGAAATATCCACGGATGGGGCGCTATTGGCCAGATTTGAGGTGAGGCCCACCTTATTAGATGAAATCAGAACATGTCAAGGCAATGACGAGGAATTTCAGAAAATCCGGGAACGGATGCTTGTGGGGCCCGTCGATGGTTTCCGTGAGAGGGAAGATGGACTTCTGCTATTCATGGAACGAGTGTGTGTGCCATCGGATGAGGAGCTCCGAAAATCTATCCTTGAGGAGGCTCACTCATCTGCGTATGCCATGCACCCGGGCGGTACAAAGATGTACCAGGACTTGAAAGAAAGTTACTGGTGGTCGGGGATGAAGAGAGAGATTGCAGAATATGTGAGCCGTTGCCTTACTTGTCAACAGGTTAAGGCAGAGCACCAACACCCAGCAGGGTACTACAACCACTTACCATTCCAGAATGGAAGTGGGAGCATGTTACCATAAACTTCGTGGTGGGTCTACCACGAACGGTTAGAAACTATGATGCAGTATGAGTGGTAGTCGATAGGCTGACCAAGAGCGCTCATTTCCTACCTATCAACACTACCTATACGCTCGAGCGGTTGGCCAAATTGTACAGAGATGAGATTGTGAGAATGCATGGGGTTCCGGTTACTATAGTATCGGATAGAGACCCATGGTTCACATCACGGTTTTGGCCTAAGTTCCAGGAATCCATGGGTACGAAATTGAGGTTTAGCACCGCGTTTCATCCTCAAACGGATGAGCAATCTGAACGGGTGATTCAGATCTTGGAGGACATGTTGAGGGCATGTGCCTTGGAGTTCCAGGGGAGCTGGGACAATCAGTTGGCTTTAGTGGAATTCGCCTATAACAACAGTTATCAGGCAAGTATAGGCATGCCTCGATACGAAGCATTGTATGGGAGGAAATGTCGGACACCATTGTGTTGGGACGAGGTCGGCGAGGCTAAGATCGAGGGCACCGAGTTAGTCGAGATCACTAAGGAGAAGATAAAAGTCATACAGGATAGGCTCAAGGCTGCCCAAGACCGGCAGAAGAGCTATGCTGATAAACGTCGGAGGACGTTGGAGTTTGAGGTTGGTGACGAGGTATTTCTGAGGGTATCACCTTGGAAAGGGATCATCAGGTTCCTCAGTCGGGGTAAGCTTAACCCACGTTACATAGGTCCGTTCAAAATCCTTGAAAGGATTGGGGTTGTAGTTTACCGACTTCAGTTGACTCCGGAGTTAGAACAGATTCATAATGTATTTCATGTCTCTATGCTCAAGAAGTATGTGCGGGACCCGTCACATATTCTTGAGAAACCACTGGTGGAAATCCGAGAAGACCTACACTATACGGTGCAGCCGGTGAAAATCATGGACCAGCAGGTAAAGAAGCTAAGGAGCAAAGAGGTGCCGATGGTAAAAGTACTTTGGAAGAGTGATCGTGTCGAGGAGCAAACGTGGGAAGTGGAGACCCTAGTGAGGGAACAATATCCATTTCTGTTTGTACTTCATCGAATTATGTATTGAACCCTGAGAAATGTATAAAAGTGTTTTTACGTGATTGTAAATTTTTATCATTTCTTTTACGTGAATAGTAAAATTCACGTGGGGCCCACACCGGAGGTGGGGCCGCCCGATATTATCGGGGCCACATATTATATTGATCTTGGACTAGATAATATGTATATGGTGGTGGATATCCTAATTGAGCCATGGCAATGGCATAGGGTTGACCGGTTGGTCAAACGGGGCCAAATTATCAGTATCGGTAATTTATCAGATAACAGCCCGAAAAGGGATTTCGGAGACTTATAAATTAAAGTTGAGGAATGCATATTGATTCTAAGGTCCATTCAGAATTGGGAACAATTATTATATTTTATTTGACCCGATAAAATAAAATATACTTAAAACAGTCCGGAAAATACAACTTTCGGGACTGATTGTACACTTCTGGACAAAAAGGGTTGACCTCCCACATGGGTGGGGGCCAACCCACGAATTTAGCCACATTATTCAAGGCTTGAGTCGGCTGGTATGTGAGGTGAGGTGGGAGAGGACTGATTTGAGATGTTTGGCATCAAAACAAATCATGGTGGCCCTCCTCTCTTTCACTCATTGCCCAAATAGAGACAAAGGGGCATTCCTACCCATCCCCCTCCTCACTAGTTCGGACAGCATCAAGGGAAAGGAGGAAAGAATCTCCACAACTTCATCTTTCATAGCAAAACTCGAGCAGAGCTCAAACAAGAAAGTTGGGAGGAAGTTAAAGAAGGAAAAAGCTAGGAAAAAGTGTGAAAATTAAGGTAATAACCTTATCATAACTTTTCCTTTGTTTTTCTTCTAGCATATAAGATATATATCATATGAAAGACCTTTAGTGTTGTTCTACATGATTTAAGTGTGGAATAATGGGTTGGAAAGTGATTCTAAGTCCAAAAACGGACTTAGAAGCCAAAACGGCCGGTTCGCCGGAAAATAACCTTTTAGAGGTTATTTGTATTACTATGGGTTTTATGATGATAAAACCTTGTTAGTAACTTTTCTAAGGTATTCAAGGAACTTTCACGAAGTTGAAAGGGGCGCCGGAGTTGTCGCCGGAGTTCGTTAAAGTTCGCCGGAGTTTCGCCGGAGCTAAATCGGGAAGACTAGAACTTCATAAGCTTCATTAAGGTGAGAAGACGGCTTTATGCTTTATAACTTTTGCGTGAGTCATGAGATTACCTAAAGTAATCAAGGATATGTTTTATGAAATGAGTAAAGATAACCAAGTGTTTGCTTATGCCATGACTATACATAAAACATAGTTGAAAAGCATGTTATGTAGGTTTGATGGTTAAAAGTGTGATAACTTATTATGTGTGATCTTCTAGGGATCCAAAATAGTATTTTTGGATCAAGGACGTCAAGGAGTATATGTGTATAAAATTTCACGTTAATCGGACTCGGTTTGGGTGGTCAAACGGGCGTTGACCGACAAGTCAACTGTCATACCCGACCGGGTATTGACACATACCTGACCGGGTATTTGCTGAAAATTAGCTTTGTGGACTACTGTCTCCTGTACTCGACCGAGTATGGGTTGATACTCGATCGAGTATTGGGTTATGCTCAAAACGGGCAGTTTTGAGCAGGTTAATGTGGGCCGTTCAGGTTGGGCCCGCCCACATTGGTTCCTAAGGTTGGTTATATGACTATAGGGCTAGGTATTGTCCATAGTTGAAGGAACGAAAGGTTAGCCATATCCAGGTTAGGGTTTGGTAAGGATTTAGTTTGGGGTTGAGTATCCCCGGGACATTAAATGATCCTGAAACTCGGTTGGGGTTGAGCATCCCCGGGACTATAAATGATCCTGAAACTCGGTTGGGGTTGAGCATCCCCAGGACTATAAATGATCCTGAAACTCGGTTGGGGTTGAGTATCCCCGGGATTGCAAATGATCCTGAAACTCGGTTGGGGTTGAGTATCCCCGGGACGGTAAATGATCCTGAAACTCGGTTGGGGTTGAGTATCCCCGGGATGCTAAATGCTCCCAAAACTCGGTAGGATATTATGAATGTAGAATGTAGCTGGTGAGCTAGGCATTCGGGAAAAGGGTGAGAAAAGTCAGGTAAGAACTTTATCTCTAAAAGACTCTTTGAATGAAATGACCTACGGGTCGAGTATTTTACATATATATATATATATATATATATATTTATATATATATATATATACAGTATGTATCATCGGATGAATGAGTCACATACACACACACACACACACACACACACACACACACACACACACACACATATATATATATATATATATATATATATATATATATCACCTTATTTTTGGGTCTCGTGTCTGAAACATTAGTTATTCTTCATATAGCCTGCTTGTCACTAGTACTTCTATGGAGTACTGACCCCTCCGGGGGCCCTCACATTTTTCAGGTTGAGGCTAGAGTCCTACTACCTGCACCTTTGCCTAGGGTGATCCTTCGAGGAGGAAGACGTGGTTCGTGCTTCCATTCGTATTTATGAAATCTATAAACTGCTCATGGATTTTTGAACAATGTTTTCATTAAAACAGTTGGGGGGCCTGTGTGCCCGTGTTTGCCACGTGTGGTTAAGTATCAAACATATTATTATTTCCGCATTTGTTTGATTATGATATTGATGTTGATTGTATGTGTTTACTAATCGGTTTGGCAATAAAAACAATCGGACGCCTTGTACAATTCAATAGGGATGAACTGTTGTTGTTCTTATCGGGTTGTACGGCGGTTGTCTACGTGGCTCGGATGCGGTCCGTGGCGTGACAGATTAAGACGGTTAGGAGTGATCGAGGTGGTGAGTATGAAGCACCAATTGGTGACTTTTGCGCTAGTGTGGGTATAGTACACGAACGTACCGCACCCTATTCACCTCAATCAAACGGTGTTACCGAACGAAAGAATCGCATATTGAAAGATATGATGAACGCAATCTTGACCAGCAATTACCACAAAATATGTGGGGCGAAGCAATCTTGACAAGCAATTACCTTTTAAATAAGGTTCCCCGGAAAAAATATGATAAAACTCCGTACGAGTTGTGGAAAGGCAGACGGCCTTCCTATCAATAATTAAAAGTGTGGGGGTGTCTTGCTAAGGTGCTTGTGCCAACACCTAAGAAAATAAAAATAGGTCCAAAAACGGTGGATTGTATTTTTATTGGATATGCACAAAACAGTAGTGCGTATCGGTTTTTAGTGTACGATTCGAATAATCCGGATGTACATAAAAACACAATAATTGAATCAAGGAATGCTTCATTCTTTGAAGATGTATTTCCATGCAAGTCCAACGAACGGCCTAACACGTCAAAACGAACATTTGACGTAGCTATGGAAAATACTAGCGAAGGATCCGGAGAAGAACCCGATCCCAGACGTAGCAAACGTGCTAGAATTGAAAAATCCTTCGGACCGTATTTTCTCACCTACCTGGTAGAAGTTGACTCGGATATTCTAACATGTATGGTAGAAAATGAACCGGATTTTCTAACATGTTTGGTAGAAAATGAGCCACGGACTTATACGGAAGTCGTGACGTCTACTGAAGGTCGTATGTGGAAAGAAGCCATCAAAAGTGAGGTGGATTCTATCCTTAAAAATCACACATGGGAATTGGTTGATCTTCCTCCGGGAAATAAACCTTTGGGATCCAAGTGGATTTTTAAACGGAAAATGAAACCTGACGGTTCCATCGACAAGTACAAGGCCAGACTTGTAATCAAGGGATACAAGCAACGTGAGGGCCATGATTACTTTGACACGTATTCTCCTGTGACGAGAATAAATCCCATTAGGATGATACTAGCAATTGCCGCATTGCGGAAATTGGAAGTTCATCAAATGGACGTAAAAACCGCTTTTCTAAATGGCGATATAGACGAAGAAATCTATATGGAACAGCCCGAGGGCTTTCGTGTTCCAGGCCAAGAAAGGAAAGTGTGTAAATTAATTAAATCATTGTATGGATTGAAACAAACCCCTAAACAGTGACACGAAAAGTTCGATCATGCAATGTTAGTTAATGGGTTTAAAATAAACGAAAGTGACAAATGTCATTTTATGTTTATACGTGGATGATATACTCATCGTGGGTAGCAATAATCTAATGATTAATTCTACCAAAAGCATGTTAAATTCTAAATTTGACATGAAGGATATGGGGCTGGCCGATTTAATCCTTGGGATTAAAATAATTAGAGGACCTGACGGTCTTACGCTAAGCCAATCCCATTACGTTGATAAAATCCTTACGAAATTTAATAAGGATGATTATCAAGAGGCAAGGACTCCATTAGATAAAAACGTACAACTTACCAAAAATCGTGGAGAGTGTATTTCTCAAGTAGAATACACTAGGATTATTGGAAGCTTGATGTATCTAATGAGTTGTATCAGGCCTGATATTGCCTTTGTGGTTAGTAAGCTAAGTAGATATACTAGCAACCCCGGTGATGAACACTGGAAGGCAATACTAAGGGTTTTGAGGTATTTACGTAGAACCCTAAATCTTGGACTACACTATGGAAGATATCCAGTTGTACTTGAAGGGTATGACGACGCTAGTTGGATATCCGACATAAAGGACTCCTCTAAGTCCACAAGTGGATATGTTTTCACTTTGGGAGGTGAAACCATATCAATCAATATCATAAATATATAATTAATATAAGTAATATATAAATCACATATAATTAATTACATACCCGTAATATTATTATAAAGATATTAAATTATAGAGAAATTAATTAGCCTAATTATGCATGATATTAGTATTATTTAATATATCACAAAGATTTGGTAATTACAATGCATTTACAAATATTTTTTAGATTACACCACGTCGATTATCGTTTTATTATTATCAAATTAGCAGCAATATATTATAGTAGAGATAATATATACTTTAATTATAGCCTAAGTATATAGTACACTAAGTAATACATATATTACTAATATTAGTGATATATACTCATTATGTTATAAAATATAAGATAAGCCTATGATATCTAATTATTGATTATACAACGATCAATTATAGCCAAAGTTAACTCTAAAATTCCAATTTAACAATCTAAATTAAAAATTTTACAAATTACTAAATTAACTTGAACAATACATACCAGGAGATTCGTAGTTCTGAAACGTTTGGCGGTTGTTCCTCTGACCATATACTGATGATGGGCCTTCCTCTCCGGGAGTTCTGTGGAACGTCAAATTTTGTGGCGGGGTGCAAGAAGCTTCCACGTAAATGTGCAATTCCGCATACTCATTTGTAGCAATCCGGAAAAAATGACGCCATGTCTGCTCATCGTGAATGGGCCATAATCTAGAAGCAACATATACCAAATTCTTATATTTTGGCAATTTTCCGTAAATTAATTTAATTTCGGAAAATCCGTCGCCTCTAACATGATTTAGAACATTCTCATGTATACTAGTATAATCATCTCCTTTACTAATGAATAGTACCACTCTAGGAGGTATAGAGTACTCCATTTCATCATCTTTTTGAGATGTAGAGCCATTCCAATGAACCATAACAACAATATTGCCCTCGGTAGACATTTTTATATATGGTATATATTGTAAATATAATATGAGAGGAGAGTGCTAAACAAAAAAACAATGAATATATTAAGAAAGAAAGAAGTGTTTTTGGAGTGTGTTGTAAATTTTGAGAAGAAATGAATGGATTTTATAGGAGGGATTAATGTAGGAGTTTGGTGGGAAACTAGGCCAAAAATACATGTCGGATTCACCAATTCCGACCACAATGCATACAGGTTGGTAAAATACTCGAACCACAATTAAACACCTCATTTTTTTTAAAAAATATCACAATACCCTAGTCAGATTACCCAATTCCGACTAGTTTTTTTTAATTAAAGCCGACACTCTCCAGTCGGATTCCACAACTCCGACAGGGGGAGTGCCCTAAAATGAAACCTAATCTCTAGTCGGAATCCGTTGTTCCGACTCCCGTAATTTCGTAACCTAAGGATGTTTTTACTTGGACTGCAATTTGCTGGTCTGGTCTGGTCGGGTATAGTCTGATCTGGTCTGGTCTGGTCTAGTCTGGTCTGAACTGGTCTGGTCTGGTCTGGTCTGGTCTGGTTTCTTTGTATTTTTATAACTATCCAAGTCTAGTCTGGTCTGAACTGGTCTGGTTTGGTCTGGTCTGGTCTGATCTGGTCTGGTCTGGGACGAAGTCCAAGTAAAAACAACCTAAATCACTTTCCCTTATTTTGACACTACACGCAGCATACTCCCGTAATCCGGTAATTTCCTCCGTATTTTGTCCCATAGCCTTTTTCCTAATACGACGTGGAACTCCGATAAATGTTTGTTCGGGTCTTCTCCCCTCAGGCCATGGAAGGATGGCAGCAGATGAATGAGCCCAGATTTTAGCTCAAACGTATTACCCTCATCAAGTGTAGGGAAGGTAATACACAGTGGTTGTTGGTTGAGGTTTGGAGCTGTGAGCTCCCTCAGTGTCCTTGTTTCAAGAGCCATTGTGGTTGACTCTTCGGTGTCGCTATAACTAGAGCTAGCGGTGTATGAATCTCTGGAAGATGATTCTTCCGAGTCGGTGTTAGAAAATTTACTTTTCAACCGCTCGAAAGTTTGTTCTATTTCTGGGTTTTTGTGATATGTGATTTCGTTTATGGAACGATGTTTAACCATAAACTCCACTAAGCTCAGAAAATAGAAAAATAAGAACTCTTTATATATTTTTTTTGATTTTTCTTGAAATGAGATAAAAGAAAAATTAATTGCCTGTCCCCGGCAACGGCGCCAAATTTGACGTGCACTCGTCGTTAGGTGCACTCAAAATAATTAATCAATACAACACTAATACGTAGTATAGTGTAGTAAGGTTCGTATCCACAGGGAAAGGAATACTTTTCTTTTATATAAATAATAACAAGGGGGGTTTAGATTTGCTTGGTTTAATAACACTAAGATAAACGACCTATATGAGTTTAATTCAATGAGATGGGGACTTGGTTTTGCTTTTATCCACTTAATGAAATGTTCGTCGATCCCGGTTATATCTTTAACTATCTTCCTCTCGAATACTCAATCGAGGAGTATATCCAGTTCATCGAGGGTAGTTATTAATAACGAGATGCGTTCATTAATAAAACTTACTATCGAGTCAATATAGAACAAGCGCCGTATATTAACTTGATAGTAGAAATAAACTTAAGATGAAAACGATTGAGATTGATAACCTCAACACAAGCGGTTTATTGGTTTAATCAATATAATTAATTCCCCTTGGCATATTAACCATGAGATGCATGCATTAATATTCCAAGTTTACTACCGTTGAAAGAACCGGATTAATAACAAGCGTATTAACCGATTGATTCTAGTAATAATTAATATGAGAAACAATACTAGTTGATACTTTAAGTAATGTTTAAGATATTAACATGAAATATGAATAGGAATTAATCAATACTCAAGGAAGAATATTAAAATATATGAATCCTACTATGATTAATATCAAGATGTTAACTAATTGTCATCTTAGCAACACTCCCCAATATAATCATAGAGGAAGAAATAGCTATTACTATAACCAATGTCAAGATGTTAACTAATTGTCATCTTAGTAACACTCCCCAACTTTGATATAGAGATAGTATTTTGAAAGAAAAAATTAATATTCAAG